ATAAATATGTATAATGTATATTTTAAATAAACCTATGGCACTAAGTATATCTTATTGTTGAGTTTCCTTTTTTAATGTTAGAAGATTAAATTATGTTTATTGTCGAAGCAAAATGCCGGTTATAAAAACAATCATAGTTAGACTTAAATTTTGTTTTGTTTAAACATGCTTATAACTTTTATTTTAATAAAAAACTTAATAGTAAACAATATCTGTAAAGGCTATTAATTTTTTCTAATTCAAATCAGATTTACTTAACCAGTAGAAGAACGTGTAAATCCGGACCTGTTTTTCCGCCATTTTAGTAAGTGCAAAAGACACGCCCTGCCGATCCCAATTTTGTATATCAAAAATAGTTACAAATGACTTATTCTTGGGTTTCTTTATCAATGTATTATCCTAAAGGGTAATAAGAGGCGAAATGTCACCACCAGGTGGCACTACTGAAACGTGAGGTCAATATGAAACGTTACTTTCATGTGGATGGTGTGTTTTTTAATTTTATAGTGTTTTTTAATGATTTATTTGAGAAAATAATGATTAAAATTGATAAATGGATAAATACGGATCAATAAATTAAAGTAAGGGACCTTAAAGAATGGCTAAAAAGAAGGGGTGGTAAAGTGACGGAAAGTGTAGAAAAACTTATTGAAAAGTAGGGCTGGAATATCTAAGGGGGTCGCGACATAGCCTCCATCTTGGGCGCCTTTTCTTCTGAAATAGTAGTCGCCAGGTCTGCCAACATAAGAAAATATGAGCATTTTTTTCAATTTTGTGCTCTTTTTTATAGTTTATTTTAAAATGTATTATGAAGACATGTTTTTCTTAATTGATGATGCAGAACAGGTTATGGCTCCCTTTTTTAGGGGTCCAGTCCCTCAAGTTTATTTATTTTAGAATTTATTATTACTATTACTAATATCTTATGATTTGTGTTCTATACGTTTTAGCATGTATTTGTTCGCTACATCTTACGAAGGATGATTTTGGAATACCTTTACAATGGAGGTACTTTCCTAAAACTAGCCGAAATTTAAAACCAATTGCAATTCCTACAGAAAATCTCCAGTTCAAACGAAGTATTTGTCTGCATGCAGAATGATAGTAGAATAGGTTAACAAAGCTGGCAAAAAAAATCGTCTCCAAATAATAACAGGAGCCATTCACACATCTCCAGTCGAAAGCTTATTCGCTAAACTTAATGAGCCGCCTTTGGAATATAGAAGACTACACCTAAGCCTTGCTTTCGCAGCCAAGATGAAATCCACTCCTACGAACCCTTCAAATCAAAGTTGCTTCCCCCAAAAATTTCCTAACCTATTTCTCGACAATCCCAGAACGCCAAAACCTCTATATGCAAGAATTAAAAATTACCAACAAGAAATTAACTACATAATCCCAGAATGCTTAGCAGTTCAATTTACATCCGTGCCACCATGACAACAACTAAAAACTCCAAAGTGTCTTACCTCTCTTTCTAAGTTCAAGAAAAACTTAGCAAATCCTCATTTAATCAAAACAGCTCTTCATGATTTAATAAACTAATTCAAAGACTATTCTCAAATCTTCACGGACACCTCAAAACTAAATGAGGACATTGGTTCTGCGGTGTTAACCCCTACCACCAGACTCATCTATACACTGCCATCTGAATCCTCAATTTTCTCTGCAGAGTTGTATGCATTATACCAAGCAGTAGTTTTCATCAATTCTTTAATCTCTCAAAAGTTTATAATTCTCAGTGACTCACTCAGTTCTATAAAGGCATTACAGATAATATATATGTTACGGTCAAAGATGATATTTCGGTCTTTAACGATATTGGCTGGTCATTTTCGTAAATCTCCTATTTGAATGAACATTCTGCCGACGTTTGTGTCCGGTCAATATCGTCAGTGCCCAATTTACAACACTGTCCGTAACATATACAAGCAACCCTTTAATTGTTAAAATAAAAGAGGAACTCAGTACAGCTCAACTAAATGGTAAAGACGTTGTGTTTACATGAATTCCATCCCACATCGGAATAGCAGGTAACGAAAAAGCAGACATACTTGTCAAAGAAGCTGTGACAAGTAACAGAGCGCGAGCGATGAATCTAATAGTGAGTAGTGACGTTAAGTCGTACAATAAATCAAAAGTGATTAGTGCTTGGGAAAACAAATGGAAAACGGGCACAACAAAATTAAACAAAATAAAAAATGATGTAAAACCCTGGACAGTGCTTCCAAAAAAGAGAAAAAACCAAGTGTTATTGACTAGGTTACGTTTAGGTCAAACGAAGCTCACTCATTCATATTTATTATGTAATCCCAAAATAGAGTCAAAATGTAACCAGTGTGACACAAAATTAAGTGTTAGACATATACTTGTCGATTTTCCTCATCTTGCACCACAACGAAATGCAGCAAATCTACCGGCCGGCACAATATTGAATATTCTCGGACCTAAATGCAATCTATACAATATAAAAACTTTCTAGAAGTCCATAAATTTCCTAAATTCCATATAGATACATAAATAAATTTATCTCATTTGTAAAATTATAGTTCGCTAATAATTCTCGTGGTTGATGCAATTTAAAATAAAAAAAAAGATCGCCAAATCTTTGTCTTGCTTTGTTAATATTTCAGTGCAATAGTGTTAACAGCATACAACGACAAGAACAACCAAAGTTTAGTAATCAATTAAAATATTTTAGTATCTCCAGAATTATAAACTCCTTCTGTATTCATAACAGACAACCTTTATTTAGAGCACTATAAATAATACGAATATCTATATATAATTACAAATCTTACTTATACTCTTTTTATGTGTTACGCCACTGGCGGTAAAAAATAGCGACATGCACGCTGGGGCTTTTAAGGTTCTCGTAATTTGTTCAAAGTAGAGAATGGCCAGTCAGACAGTCGAACATCTTTTTTTTTTGAATGTGTAATTTAAAAATTCGTGAGTTTTTAGACCGGTCCAGATAAGTACCTATAATGCTGCAATTTTATTCCAAAATTATTGCGAAAAAAGGAACTTGGTTTGGAATTTTTATTGACGGTAAAAGATACAGAAACTATTTCTGTAGGTAGATATCTTTTGTAGATATGTAAACAGACTATTTTCTAAAATGTTTTTATTAGAGGGTTTCAGATGACGCGCTAATTTACCAGGGCAGTTCCAGCGTTTACAATAAGAAAGGCCGAATTTGGTGCCATAAATTTTAATGATGGAAATATCTAATGACGGACCTGTATTTTCCCAACATGCCTTATATAAATTTAAATTTTATTAAAAGTTTTACCTGGCTTTAAATTTATTATCGACAACATAAGGTCAAAATTGGTTTTGTTAAAAATACTCGTATTTTGGCAATGAGATAGCCTTTAAAAGGGTCAGTCAATTTTTTCATTTGTTCTATACATATACAGGTTGTCCTCTTTACAAAGAGTATATGAGTATAAAAATAATTTGTCTTTTTCTAATTTATGAAATAAATTAAACTTGAAAAAAATAGCTATTTGTATACCTATTAAGAGCAGAAAGTATCACTTTGGCAGTTGATAGAGCAAGTTGCCGCAGGACGCGTTAGGGGAGCGGAGCGTTTTCATAAAGCCCAACTAATTACTACAACGATTAGGTAAATTACGATATTGCAAAGTTTTAATGAAATAAATAAAAAAATTGTGTTTGTTTTAAATAATTGTACTAAGTATTTTTGGTTTATTCTTAACCCTCTCAAAAATTAACAAGCACGCCTCCGATTTGCTATCCACTGGGCTTATTTCTACTCTCAATCATTATTTGTTTTACTTTAGTTATATTTGAATGTGCAAAACCCTACTTTGGATAGTGATTGTAGAAAAAAGTTTTTTTAGTATTCATAATCATAATCCATCCCAAACAAACCAAAATTCGTGCATAATCGGGTCTTTATCGCACGCCGTGCGTATAAAGGTTGCTAGGTAACCGCTTCAATAAATAAGATTAGATTATGTCAGATTTTATTTTGAATTGTCAAATTAATGAAATTGTTTACAAGTTTCAAAACACTCGATAAAATGCATGGAAATTATTAATTTGCATTTTTCAATTAAAGTTTTTGTAGTTATTACTATTGTAATTGCGCATTAATACTAAAAAATATCGTATGATAATGCATAATCGCCTTAAAAGGCATTAGTGAGACACCTTACTTTTAATTTTAATACTAATAATTAAATTAGATAGTTTTATTAAAATTTACGATTTATTTGTAAATATAGACAAATATCGTGTGGAATGGATAGAAATAGTAGTGGAATGCTATTATTTATCGATTCTTCACAAGAATCACTCAGTTTAATCTCAATAACTTAAAAAATTATTGACAATTAGTTTGACAGAATTGTTACTTATTTAAAATTTGAATAGTAGTTCGTGCAACAAGAGTGGATATGATGGCCATATCGCACGAAGAAGTATGAGCACGACACTGTAGGTGGGTTGCTCAATCGTTTGAGTGCGATACGGACAATCCACTTGAGTTGTACAGTATATTTTTTCTACGATTCACTAACGAAAATCTACAAATGAAATATATTCGTTCAGTTGAACTCAATGGCATATTTTTTCGTTTTGTAGTATGTGCGCTAATATCCATGTGGGTGTAGAAAAAAAATATTACTAGCCTGGTGACCAAATATGAACTGTGATCGATGGATTTTATATCCGTACAGTGTTTTATTTATAATGGGTATGAAATATATTCGTTCAGTAGAACGTAATGGCCTACTTTTTTGTTTTGTAGTCTATTCGTAAAATAGATAATATCCATATTGGTGTAGAAAAAATAAGGTTTTATTTTTTTATAGTTTTATCTCTAAAACAGCCTTGAAAAGTTGTTTATACTACACACAATGCGTCCTCTCGAAGGAAAAATATAGGTATCACTATATAAATAAATAAAAGGGAATAAACAAAAATATAAAATTGGAGGAAATAATTTAATTAAAAAAATATGAGACGTGGTAAAATATATTTTTAATAGTACCTATTTCTATCTTAGGTTAGGTTTTATAAAAACTAAAATAAAAATTTTCTGAATACTGACTTATGTTTTCAGTCGTTTTCAAATACAACAAATATTGCAACATTTTATTTACAAAAATAAATATACATATAAATTAAACAATCTCTTCATCAATGATGATCTCCTAATAGATCTAACAAAGTAATACAGAACATAATAAAAAAACCTAAAGTTATGGCGGAAAATTGTTTCAGCCCGCTTCTCTTATCTCCCTGAAGAATTTCAAAAAACACCACATACATCAAAGTTCCAGAGGCAAGCCCCTGCAATATCACAGAAATTACGGTATTGGACGCACCTTCAACATTACTCACTATAATACCAATCCCTATTCCCAAAGGGCTCACTACAGCAAACGTGAATACGTAGATCACTATAAAAACAGTTCTAAGACCAGATGCGACCAATTCAACACCTATACAAAATGCTATTACCAGTTTGTGAGCACTAACTGCACCGAACATATACCAAACGGTGTGCGACGATGATTCCAAACCTACAGCTAGGCCTTCAAATAGCTCATGTACAGATAAAGCTAACACTACTAGCAATCCACGCACTATAACTACAGTTGAGTTACCTGGGTTGATTATTATGTGAGAGTGGCCAACGTGCGAGTGATTTATTGAGTGCTTAGCATGTTCTTCTTTATTCGATAATTTCGGTAAATCTTCGCCTCTACGTATCGACAGGCTTCTCCTGATAACTTCCATCTCTGGAACTACCTCTGGTGGATTGTGCATATTTTGCTTGAAATGTAGATAAACATGTACGCATTCTTCTACAAAATACATGATAAAGAAACCGATACACATAAGTATTTCAGCATAATGCAGTTCTAGATTCGGTGTGAGGTTCAGATTTTCGAAACTTTCGCTTACTTCTGGTAGTAGATGGATGAAAGTCGTACATAATAGTACGCCTCCACCGATGCCTAGAAGAAATTTGACATAAACGTTCTGTTTCGCGTCTGAATCCCATTTCAACCATTGGTTCAGCTTTATTGGTAGGTTGCCTATGATGAACGAAGCTAGGAATAGGACTACCATCGCTGTGGCTTTTGCAACATTGGGGTTACCATGGTCTTCGTCTTCGTGGTTGTGGTCACTTGCTAGATGTCGGGGGATTCTTATTAGGTTCATTTTTCTGAAACGAAAAATGGTTATCAGTATCAGCAGCAAAATTCAAGGTCAATATTTATAATTTGGAATAATTCAAGTCAATTGTTTTATTTTATTTATTAATTTTGTCTTAAACAAAAGTAGTGATTCCGTAACAAATATAGTGATTTGGAGTTTGAATCTGCTATTAAAGTGACCATAGAGAGAAAAAACTAGAACCTTTAATTCGGATTCAGAACACAACATTCTAAAATAGCTCATGTACACAGGATTTAAATCTAATAGAAAAGCGTTTGACATAGTTAACTATAAAGTAATTATAATAACATTGAGACAAATGCTCCCAAAGCAGTCTGTACAACATTACAGACATATTTTACAGAGTGAAACAAATACAAAGTAAAGTAAGCAGTTAGTACCTGAGAGAGGCTAATATGTGATTTTTTAGTTATGCCTTACAACAGGGCTTCCCAAACTTTTTCAGTTCGCGGCTCTCTTACAGGTTTAATATTTTATCTGGGCGCACTAGGGTTGCCAGATTTACGAAACAGAAATTTTTAAAAAAGAAAAGAACAGGTCTTTCTAGCGAGCTTCCAAAAAAAAGGTCCTCATCAGCAAGCAGAGGGATTTGAATTGATTATTTTGCAGCCGCGAAGCGAATACCTAAATTTAGTGTTTAGTTTCCTCACGGCTCTCCTATTTATACGGCTTCCCAGGCAGCCGCGGCGCACTCTTTGGGAACCACTGTCTTACAATATAAATCCTAAATACACGAAAAAATATAAATTAAATGAATATTAATTAAAAAATAAAAAATTATTTTATCAACTGTCATCCTCTTCATACGAATGAAGTATTACTCGTATTTAAAAATACTTTTGACATAATTCATAAGGTACTCAAAGTAAAGTGAATAAATTGATTCATTATGAAGAGGAAAGATGATTTTTTTAAAATAATAGATTAAGAATGAGGATGATTATGATCTATAATATAAACAAATTGTAATTTGAATTTAAACAAATCCAAAATGACTGATACATATCCGTTTAAATTAATTGTAAAATTACTGATAAATATCCAGATGCGTGAAAAATTGCTTAAGGACGGGGTATCCCTGTGTACTAAAAGTGTATGTGTAGACCAAAAGTTAAATCGACAGTTTTCCGAATATGTAGTGTTTAAAAATCTAATTTTTGGCCAAATTAAAAATAAAGGTCTAACTTAGGTCACCTTACTATTGAAAATTAATAAATTTATTATTTTCAATAAAAACCAATCATGTAAAATAACCCCCTTTTATTTCATCTCAAAGGTGCCGTGTAGAATTATTTTAACCTCGATGTCAAACAAATAATAAAAAAAAATGTAATACGACCTAAGTTCAACCTTTACTTGGAATTTGGTACACTCAGAATATTGTATATTTTTCAAAACGTGTAGATTTGAAATTTATAAGTAACTTTCTTTGAAAAAACATGTCAAAACGAATTTGGACCAAAAATGGCGTCTAATTTAACTCTAAATCAACCCCGAAAAATCAATAATTACTTCATGTAATGTAATAAAGATGGTGCTCCGATCGATAATATTTTGACTAGTATTTGATTATTTCCGTTTATATTATGTGTGTTTACGGGGGATATACGAGATGATAATACTGCCTCTGATACTGTTTATATGATACAATTGGAAACGACCTTTTTTCATCGGCACTCTTTTTTCGCCGGTGACCTTTTGACACGCGCCTATTTGTTATATGATGTATGATTATCGGTTATTTATCAACTAAAAGTATAGGAAATTAGTACATTGTGAATGATAATATCATTTTAATGCTATTTTTGAAACTAGTTTAAAAGTTGCATTTAACGATACTCAATGTTTCATTTTACCGTCAGTTTTAGTTTGACATATCCGTCATTTTATGTTTACAAAGCTCAGTTTCTATTCGAAAGTAAGAGAAACAGTCAAAATAAAATGCGAAAAACACTTTTTATCAATTTCGTTTATGTCAACTGAAAGCGACAATTGCTGAAGACGTAACAAATAAATTAGGTCGAGAAATAAAAAAATCTATACTATAAGTAACATACCATATATTATATCAAAAATAAGAGAACATATCGTTGACGTATATACTTTTCCATTTGTGATTAGTGATTACCAATTGCAAATTACGTATGAACATGCTTCTGCGCAAAAAAAAAAACATTATTTCAAGTACTTGTATCATTAAAGTCCATTAAATTATTATTTTTATAAATTTGCTAATCTTTGCACTTTAAGTTTCATTATATGGGGTATCCAGACATTTTAATCCTCGTCCTCTTCTATTTAAAATTATCTCAGGTGCCATATATTCCGAGTAAAATTTTTCTAATTTTTTAACCATATTTAAAAAAAAAATGGGTTGAATATGAATTTTTTCAACAAATATTGGATTTTCATCTCCAGTATATACTACAAAGGAGCACAATTTTCTTTGAGCTATACCTAGCTGTCCTTGAATCTAAAAGTATATAAAATCATTATTAGAAAATCAAACATAAAAAGAATATTAATATTGTAGTATCATTTTTAGCACATTTCTTAAAAATCATGAATTATTTTAACATATTGAAATTTTTCACGTGGTAAAAGTAGTTATGGTTTTCTTTTAAATGAATGTCACCATCTTCTATTTTTAAGCATGGAAATGGGTTTGAATATTAGGTAATGTGCGCCAATAATGTCAAATTATGACAATTCGCAGAAAACGTCAACTTTTTATTTAGATTTTAATGTGCAAAAGCCTACCTACTTTGGATATTGATCATAGAAAAAATATATTCAGAATAATGAAACATTATTATTAAATAACAAGTTTTTTTATTGTCAAATTTAATACGTAATATTATTTTTTGATTGCAAATATTTGAATGTTAAAATTATAGCGTTTAATTTTTTTATTCAATGACGAACTCGAGAGTGATAGAAAAAAAATGCTACCTACCTTTAATGCAGGAAGTCGATGTCAATTTATCCAAAAATAAAACTGATTAAAATGTACAATGAAACTCACTAGGACACTTGGCACAAATAAATCAATTTTCTATTAAAGAAAATAACACTTTTTAAAAACAAACAGCACAATTAACCCCTTCAGAAACGTGTGATGTAATTTTGAAAACTAAATACCCGTAAGCTTGTTTGTAAATTTATAGACTCTTAACTCCTTCCCCCAGCCTTCATTAAGTATATTAAAAGTCGTGACGTCATATTGGCACAGATATACGGTAATGTGTTATTGACAATCAGGGACATGTTTCTAGGAAATAACTACCTAAGATAAGATAAGATAAATGAATGTTAAATACCTACTCATAATATCTATTGTAGGGTTTTTGTACTTTAATAGGATAAATATTTATGCGGGCCTGGAAATTCCAGGAAATGACAGTCAAAATTACCCAAAAACATTAGGTTAGTACCAACATCAGATAACAGATAACTTCGGTACTTAACCAATTAATCACAATTAATATTCTTGAACATTCAAATGACAAAAACTTCCATCTTTAACCAATGAGAATATAGTTTTCATTCGATACTTCAAAATCACAATTTATTAATTAGGTAGAATAGTTTTAAAATATATTGCGAATTGCGACACGTCAAGCGTCCCACTCCGACTCAATGTGACGCAATTATTGTGGCAATATATTTTGAAACGACTCTATATTCGTGACTTGAAATTATAAACATCCCTCGTATTACTACCCGTATATAAACCAAATTATTTGTTTTAGGAAATATTTATATTTAATGTGAGGCAAGATATCGTTTTTGTTGTTACCATCTGCATCTACATTCTTTACTTTGGTCCAGGAAACAAAGTCAATTTTCGATAAAAATAAAATGTAATAGGTAGGTAATACTTTATGAAACAGTACAATAAAAGTATTGAAATAAAGTATGCTCATACTCCAAAATGAGTCCTAGAGTTAACATTTTTATAATATTATAAATGGCGTATAAAACGATTGGACCGTTTTCACAATCACGAAATAATTTTTTTTATTTGGTAAAATCCCGGCAATTATTGAAAAATAGATTTTATGTTCAGGACTATTATTATGATCCTTCGAACTCAGTCTACTAAAAACCGGTTTATAATACAATATAATACAATATCCCCTAATAGCTAGTCGGTCGATATTTATAGTTACTTAAAGATTTCTGTAATAATTTTCACTAATTCAATCTCTAGTCGGTAGGTAACAGCACCTCCTTGATTGAATCTAAATTGACATAATTTTGTTCAGAAATTCCTAGGAGACGCTGTCCTTAAGTAATCTTAATTCCTAAGCTAGGAAAACCTCAAAATAAAGTGTCATCATATAAACCCATGTCGTTGTTACAAATAATATATAAGCTAGTTGAGAAGCTAGACTAGGCAATAAATATATATCAAGTACACAAGCTAGTCAATATCATCAGAAAAGCATAGGAAGAAAAATGCAAAATAATGAGAAGAAGAAAAAGAAGGTGATGATGATGATGAATAAGGAATTATACATTATTTAATTTTTTATAAACAAACGAGAAGATAAAAATATGGAAAAAACCAAAAATTGTCATAACTTTTTTAATTGAAAAGTTTTTGTTGGTATTATTTGTCAGCATGTTTTTACCATATTCTGGTATCATTTGCAAAATCTTGATTCAATAGTAATTAGATATTGCAACAAGATGTTTGAGCACAACGCCGTAGGCGGAGTTCTTAATCGTTTCAGTACGATACGTACAATCTACTTGAGTCTTACAGTATATTTTATCTACGACCGACTACCGAAAATGGTTTATGACTTTTATTAATTTATAAAATAAAATCCTAGATTTGAACCTGGGATTTCTCGCATGGCAGCTCAATACGCTACTATCAGCTCCATGGGCACACCTAATATTTTAGTTTTAATACTCATAATTAAATTGATTTCATATGGTTTCATTAAAATTTATCATTTATTTGAAAATATAGAC